CCACTTCGATAAAGCGGCACGACACGAGAACCCTCTCATCGTGGCCGCCGGTAACTACATTCCCGATCCTGCGGAAAGAATGGAAAGCAGTCGACGTCGCCCCAAACACGATATCTCAAATCCCCCCGATCCACTAACGGTGCTTTTAGGTAATTCAAGCACCGGTCACCGTTCTCGTCAAACCCGTCGCTTGCGACGAAGGGCTCGACGAGTAAATTAACTCTCAGACACAGCCCACTGAGTTTCTCGCCGGATCTTCTCAGTGGGTCGCGTTTCCGATCCGGTGGTAGATTCTGCGAAGCACGGCTCTTGCTAGGGTTCGTGTTAGCAACGTCATCAGGTTTGAGCCCCGTGAGCTCACCTACAAAAGTTAGGGTTACGCTGATATAGCCTCTCAAGGCTCTCAGCTTAGGTAGGAAAAAAAAATAAGTGTTTAGACTTCTTACTTTAAACACTACACGAGCGCAACGTGTGAATGTGTTGAACGCGAGCTCCATAGTCGGCGTAGTGAGGGGTGGAAGGTTATTTTCGTTACGGAATTTCATGATTCCGCTCTCAAGCCGCGCTCAAGGCACGCGATAAAATTTATGCAATAGCTTAAAAAGTCAAAAATATCCTCTCATAATTTGGGCCAAACTACAGACGTGTGCGTAGTTTCATTAAAATCGATTAATTAATTAGAAGTACATCATGAAGTAACAACAACATAAACATATATAATATATAATAAATATAGGTAATTCCTTGTCTTGTTTGACAGAGTTATTTCTTGGCGATTGGTTAAATTTAATAATTCAGTAGTGCTAAGGCTTTCAAAGGTCTGAACGTCCACCTTTAGAAATTTTACTCCCAAATGATGAACGATTGTAGGGTAGTTCATGTTTTTTTCGTTTGCTTTTAAATGCTCAAAATTTCATCTGTCTGCTGTCTGCAAAAGAATTAATTCTACATGCATAAAGCCGATCTTCAAACTATTACGCCTAAGAGGGTGTATAAATAAGACACATAATAATATGTGCATGTAGTTAATTGTAGTGAACATACTTTCAGCACTGTAGGCTCATTGATCCGTGTGAAGCTGGCCGGCTCGCTAGTTACTTTATAAAATTAATCTTATAATGGTAGAGGTCAATTGGATATTTTAAAAATTTGCTAATTTCTTCTGAGTCGCAGGTGTTGCGCTATTGTCTGCTCGCTCGGGAGGCGGCCGCGGCGGCGTCGATAGCGCGGCTCTGTATCTGCGGCGTCCTACATACATGCACCTCATTAATAATAGATCAATACATATTATTATGAAATTGTAGTTTTACAATTTGTAGTACTGGCCTTTTGAAACGTAACGGACATGTGGCATACGTATGAATACATTCTAAATTTCAATGAAATTTATTTTAAAAATATGGAATTATATTTTCAAATTCAGTCATTTGTTTATTGATTACTGTTTTGTTTTTGCTACATTTGTGTCTTTCACGATCATTGATCAATGTGGACACGATAAAAATACAAGTAATTATGATAAAGAACAATATATATTGTACTTAAACAGGAATAATAGTTTTATAATTATCTAGTATGGACGGTGATGAGACGCTGCGTCTATGTGCTCCAATGTACTGGACGCTGCGTCTATGTGCTCCAATGTTCTGCGTGGCCCAGTGCTGCGGTAGCCGTCGCGGAACTTGTCCCGGAGTCCGGACCCACGTAACTATTGGAATGGGTTTCAGGAACCGCTATCAACTGAACGCCGCTATATGCCGCGACCGGTTAAAGAAGCCGTTCAAATATTTAAGTATAAAAACTTCAACTGGGAGATGGCTTCTGGTTATAAATTAGTGGAATGAGTGGAAAGAATATCGATTGCGAATTCGAAATGTTCTAAGAGCACTGTCGCTACCGTGAGTATACAGTGCCGGGGCGCGGCTTCGTGTTCCACTAGTAATACACGTCACCAACCCACGGGAGAGGTACACAAGTCTGCCTGCTCCTCCCATCCCACCCGTGACGTGGCGCTCGCAACAGCGCTGAAATAACAGGAACTAACTAAAACTAAAAGTCTTGGATGAACTCGTTAAATAATAATATTTATAATGTAGACAACCGAACGTTTAAAACAATTTGTAATATGTACATGCATACATACCTACATATTGTTATGTATGTACGTCAGGTTGCGTACGACGCGACGTATATTTGCGTTGACTACAGTCCGAACTGTATTTATATATACATATGAACACATGCTGAGCATTGAGGAACGTAAAGTGAAATGAGTATCCCTGGTCCCGTGAGCGCGGGGCCGCCACAGCCGCTGCGGCTAGGCAGCCCTCAACTCTGAGCGGCTCGTTACCAACAGTAGATACGCTACTTACTCTACACTAGAAGATACGTAATCGTTATTGTTATAATACGTATCTATATTTTTTTATAGAAGACTTGGGAGTTTTGAGTCGTCGCGTACAGATGCAATGCTCAGAAACGGAGCGTCGATGGGCGGGACAAGCACGGCGCCGGACGCGTCCGCACAACCATTAACATTAGTTAATACCTACGTATAAAAGCTAAATACCGGTCACTCATCACGAGATCGGGAACTACCCATCCGATAACCTTTCTGTTTAACATAAATACTTTGGGGTGATATAGGCGGTCGTAGAGAATGCATTTTGCGTGAATGAATGAATGAAAATGAATTTATCATCGCCAATGGCATACGTAGGTAATGACAGCTCAAAGTTACCATGGTAACCGCTGCTTTAGAGCTTGTGGCTGACGGACCAGAGAGTGACATACACAGCTGCTTATTCCGGGAAAATGCAACGTGTTTAATTTTTTCTGAATAACAAATATAATTTTTTTAATTTTATTTATTTTATTTATTTATTAAGTCGCACCAACAAAGTGATCATCAATACAAAACATTGACAAATTGACAAAAGTTCATGGCAGATGTCACCTCAATTATAGGTGCAATCGACAGTGCATTAACATCAAAAATAAACAAAATATACAGCTAAGATTTGAATACATTTCATTCATTGCTTAAGATTAATTTAATTGGGAGATGATGCAAGTGAAGGCGCGGGCCACGTTTGGTTAATTACATAGTAAACAAAATAAGGCTGGCAGTTGGCAATGTGCCGGCTACAGGTGTGGGTGCGAGTCACATGACTACGCACGCACGCTACGCACACACACACGCGCGCACACACACACACACACACACACACAGCGGCAATGTTCATTTCATGATACATTATGAATAAAGACAAATGGCTTGTACACACAGCGTTCCCGGGGCACTGGCGCACTGGCTAACGATTAGCACCGAATCCAAATTTCATTTGGAAATAATCGGTCAAGACAATATGCAGGAAAGAGTCGACTAACTAAGGAGCGACTACGGAAAACGAACGCAGAGCCCGGCTCAGTGAGTCGGTGGCACGGACAGAGGACCGGGGTGCAACGACAGGTCGGAGCTGTCCGCGGGCGCCTGTCCGCTGACACTCACTGTCGGGAACAAGACTAGATCTACAGTTAGGATTGCGGCATAACAGATCAACATGATTCGGTTTATCGGTTCTTAATTTATTAACGAAAAAAGGGACTCAGAATTCAACTTAAGTTTTGTGCCGGTAGCTCTTTGATGTTTAGTGATGCCTTCGGGACCCGGTGTCATTATCAGCATCAGCCTATAGCAATCCAATGCTGGACATAGGCCTGTCGAATTGCTCGCCACTGCGCACGATCCTCGGCTTCTCTCATCCAGCTCCTGCCTATCACCCTGCACAGATCATCACTCCACCGAGCCTGAGGGCACTGCACTTCGTTTTCCCATTCGCGGTCAAGAACGCGTTTTCCCCCAACCGTTATCGGTTGTTCGGCTAGTATGGCCAGCCCATTGCCACTTCAGCTTACTAATGCTGTGCGATGTCGATAACTTTGCTTCTCTCTCATATCACCTCATGCCGCATTCGATCCTTCAGAGAAACTCCGAGCATAGCCCTCTCCATAGCTCGCTGAGCGACTTTAAACTTGGGTGGCATCATCAAAGACCAAAAGTGTTGCGTCATGGTTGTTGATAGTTTCTTGATGATATTTAGAGCAAGATTTAGAATGTAAATAGTATTGATGTACATCATTAAAATATGATTGCAACAAGTTTGTGCGCGGTGTGCGGGTCCCGGCGCCTGCGCGCTGCGGCGGCCACACGCGCCGGACCCGACACCCGCACTTTGGACTCGCTCCGCCTTCGTCTTTTCGCTCTATCTCTATATCGATTTGATTCGTGGCTTGTCACAGGTATCCGTCCAGTAACATGTGTAATATTATTTGCAGAATGATTCCAAGACGCAAACACAACGCATCCTCGGGCTCTCTGCCGCCTCCCGACGACAAGAACGCCAGCAATGACTACATCCGTGAGTATCCTTGAGCTCTTCTTCTGATCTTGTCTGGACTTGTGTTCGTTTAGCGAGTGGTTGAGAGTGTCGATTGTGTGTTCCAGTGTCGGAGGGAACGTCGTGCGAGCGGCTATGCGCTGCGCTGCGGCGTCGGTTGAACCGCAAGACGCTGCACAAGCGCGTCCCGGTGACGGCGTGGCTGCCGCAGTACAACGCGGAGAAGGCGATCGGCGACCTGATCGCCGGCATCACGGTGGGCCTCACGGTCATCCCGCAGTCGCTAGCGTACTCCAACATCGCGGGCCTGCCGCCGCAGCACGGCCTGTACGGCTCGTTCTTGGGCTGCTTCGTGTACATCGTGCTGGGCGGGTGTCGCGCCGTGCCCGCCGGCCCCACCGCCATCGCCTCGCTCTTGACTTGGCAGGTCGCCGGCGGTGTGGTCGAGAAGGCCATTCTGCTGACGCTCCTGGCGGGAATAGTCGAGCTCATGATGGGTGTCCTCGGGCTCGGCTTCTTGATTAACTTCGTGTCGGGTCCGGTCTCGTCGGGGTTCACGTCGGCCGTGGCACTGATGATCGCTACGTCGCAGGTCAAGGACATGTTCGCAATTTCAGTCACCGGTGAAACCTTCCTCCAGCAGTGGATCTCAATATTCCGAAACCTGCACGCTGCTGCACTGTGGGACCCCGTCCTCGGCTTCGCCTGCATCGCCTTGCTCCTGCTCTTGAGGGTAACCTTCTCATTATTTATTTATTTATTCATATTGCTCGTAAACTAATTAACCCGTTTCTACTAAACTAATTAAATCTGTTTCAGAAAATTGGAATGATAAAGCTAGGTGGCAATTCTGAAAACGGACCGAACACTCGACAGAAAGTGGTGACGAAGTGCTTGTGGCTGCTGGGGACCTGTCGGAACGCGATCGTGGTGGTGGCCACCGGCGTGCTCGGCTACTGGTTCGTCGCCACCCACGGCTCCTCGCCCGTCCGCCTCATGGGTCCGTGCACTTTCCACTCTGTCTTATCCTATTCACTACGATTCCAGTATGCTATACATATGTCTATTAATGATGCACATAACAATAAGATAACGTAATTTTGATGAGTATTTTTCTTTCCCTTTGCGCGCCTGCCAGGCGAGAATATTCGTGGCGGTCAGTATAGTATCTAGTCAAGTAAATGATTCATCCACATCATCTTCTATCATCCTTAATTTTCGTAATCGATCTCAGTTGAGATGATTTTAAATTTTACACAAACATGAGCGTAGTAGTGAGTAGAGAGAGAGTAGAGAGCTAGTAGAGAGCGGAGTCGGATAGAGCGTGCTCTGACACTGCGGTGGCACTTGCAGGTGCGATCCCGTCCGGCGTGCCCCACCCGCAGCTGCCGCCGTTCAGTTACGTGCGCGCCGACAACACGACCGCCGACTTCCTGGACATGGTGTCGGAGCTGGGCTCGGGGCTGCTGGTCATCCCGCTCATCGTGCTGCTGGAGGACATCGCCATCTGCAAGGCGTTCTCTGATGGGCGCACCATCGACGCGACGCAGGAGATGATCGCGCTGGGCGTGGCCGGCATCGCCAACTCGTTCGTGCAGGCGTACCCGGGCGGCGGCTCGCTGGCTCGCTCCGTCGTCTGCAACGGCTCCGGCGTCAAGACCACCTTCAACGGACTCTACACCGGTCGGTGACCTCGCTGTCCCTCGCTGTCCCTACTCGTACAACATCTTCATCTCACTTTTACTAACTACCCATTTTCATTTTAAGGAATTATGGTGATCCTTGCCCTGCAGTTCTTCACGCAGTACTTTGAGTATATCCCGAAGGCCGCTCTCGCTGCCGTCATCATAACTGCGATCCTGTTTATGGTGGAATACAACGTGATCAAGCCCATGTGGAGAGCTAAAAGTGAGTATTCGAGCGAGCACTGAAAGGTGTGACGTCAATTTAGCACTGAGAGCACTTTCAGAGCACACTCGGAAACTTTACACCTGCAGTGTTCACAGTAAAAAAAGCGACAATTTATGACGTCATATTACGAACGAATTTCTCCCAAGTAAGAACACTAAACAGTGTTTGCAGAGTACGTCGGAACATAGCCAACATAACGGTAACAGTCGATGCAACGGAACCTTCCCACCTGCGGGCGGTATAGGAGTTCACCGGTGTCTTACTCCTCTGGTCGCTTCTCAGATCTGATCCACACAATATCCACGTTATGTTCACTGATCAACGTCATCCTCAGAACTGGATCTCATCCCGGGCGTGGGCACGTTCGTGCTGTGCCTGACGCTACCGATCGAGCTGGGCATCCTGACGGGCGTGATCGTCAACATCATCTTCATCCTGTACCACGCCGCTCGACCCAAGTTCTCGGTGGAGATGTTGAAGACGGAGCAGGGCGTGGAGTACCTCATGGTGACCCCGGACCGCTGCCTCATGTTCCCCTCTGTGGACTACGTGCGGCGCCTGGTGACCAAGTTCGCGGGCAGCGGCTCCGTGCCCGTGGTGCTGGAGTGCACGCACATCTACAGCGCGGACTACACCGCCGCCAAGAGCATCGAGCAGCTCACCGCAGACTTCCACGCGCGACGGCAGCCGCTCTACTTCTACAACGTCAAGCCTTCCGTCTGCTCGATCTTCGAGGCGGTCGCGAAGCCCGAGCACTTCGTGGTGTTCTACGAGGACGAGGAGCTGGACCGGCTGCTCGCGGCGGACGAGCGCCTGGCGCCCACCAAGCAGGCCCCTCTCGACGCCTGAGCGGACCGTCTATACGTTACATATTTTCTGAATCGATTTAATATAGGAATGTGATATTTATTGGAGCAGGGGGTGGGGGCGCACGCGCGTTCAGAACGGTCGGCGCGCGTCTCGGCCCGTGATACTCGTCCTACTTCAAAATGGCGATCTATTTATTTATTGATAGTTTACAAAGTACAATTTATTTAGCGTTAGTATTATCTGTACTATAAGTTGCGAAGCTTTAAAGGGCCTATAGAGGGGACGCGAGCGGTGGCGCTCCGGGCCGGCCCCGGCGGCTGTGGGCTCCGCTTCATCTCACTCTGGTACTTATCCATTTTGTGATCCTAAACTAGTATATTAAGTTTAAAAAAAAATATTTTTGAATAAATCACAAAAATAGTATAGATTATAATATAGTACTTAAACATAATGTGATCTGTGTGCATGTGAGTGCATATGTGTGTGTGCATGTGTGCCTAGTTGAGTAGTGAAGATGTCAGTCACAGTTCCAAGAACAATAATATCTAATAAACTCTTTGAGAGTAAAAATACCCTTGTTTTATTTCCTACCCTTCCTACGTTCATGAGCTTCGACGTTATGAGGAAACCCGAATCGCGCTTAGTTGAAATTCCACACCTTGTGTGACCTAGTACACTCCAACAGAAGCAGCCGTCGCGCGCGGACGTGCTCATCGACCGTTCAATCGTCCGAGCTCGGTTCGTGACACATCTGGCGTCCTAGTGTTTTCTCGGTAATTTTTACCTGCGCCCGTTGCGGCCCGGGAACAATAAGACCCTTTTTACAAAGTTGGGGCCTCGCCACAAGGCGAACGCATGTGTTAAGTCCCGGGGCAGCACCCCCTGGCCAGTCAGAAAAAAAAGCTCGCTCCAACCAAAGCCCTGTTCGAAGAATTCCTCCGCGAAATATACCCGACCATCGGAATAGAATGGACAGAATTTTCAGAATATAAGTCTCAACAGCTTTACGGTAGAGCAGCTTGGCTCTGGCCCTGACATTGCTGAAGTCCATGGGCGACGGTAACCACTGACCATAAGGTGGGCCGTATGCTCGTCTGCCTACAAGGGCAATAAAAAAAAAAACATGTGTGCAATTCACACGTGTTAGAAGTGAAACCTTCAAAAATGAAAATACACTTATCCTAAATGTCCAAGTATATTATTAGTAAAATTTTGTCATTAGTAAATAATTGTAAATCACCTTTTATAGTATGAGGTAGCGCCCTCTGTGAATTCATATTTTAACTTCACGTATATCCTAAATTAAAATTCACTACAAGAGTTCTCATACACACGTTAGTATTAAAACATCTCACAGATGGCGCTGTATTAAAAATAAAATACTTTATACGTATGTTTTAAAGTATGTAGGAACTGAGCATTCTGTCTCACTTTTTCTCTCGATCTTTCTCACTTTGCTTCCTACTCTCACTCCATGGCTAGTTGCTTCATGCTACGTTCACCCTGTCTTACCCTCGCTCAATCGGTCTCGATCGCTCTCTCTCTCTTTTTCGATACTTCCGTTGCATACCTGCGTGACGTTACATCTGTAAAAATTTTACCCTCATGCGCTTAAAGAAGTTTCACTTCAAAAAACGCCGCGAGATTTCTGCGGCCTCCGTCGCGCCCGCCGTTCCTGCGTCTACTATAAACACGCGCAAAATCCCCGCGTCGTTCAGCGCGGCCTACGTGTCCCCTAAAGTACCTGCATCAGTCCACAGGTCGCCCGCGGTGGCCTCTTCGTCCTCATCCGACTCTGACTCGGATATGGAGGTCGACCCCTGCCCCGCGGCTTCACTCTCCAAAAGAGAAAGAAGCGCACCGCGGAGTCCCGAGCTCCCGCAGCCACCAAAATTAGTAAAATCGCGATCGCGTCGCGCCCCCGCGCCCTGTCTCCCGTCGCTTCCTCTCCCCGTGCCACGCCATCGCCGCGTCCAGAGGCACAACTTAAAAAACAAACCACTTCCTCGGTAATCTTAAGGCCAAAAAAATTAATTTCACTAGCGCCCGCAATCTCGCAAGTGGCATCCAAATAAAGGTAAAATCATCCGATGACCATAAAGGCCTCACCTCTTACCTCGAGCCGAGCTCGTCAAGGCCGACCTGCTAGAACAAGGCCTACCAGTTAATTCCGTGCACCGTATGCACACCGGTCGCGGTAGAAAGCCATATATGGTTCTAGTCGCCCTCCAGCCTACCCTTGAGGGAAAGCAAATGTTTAATATACGGACCGTCTGTAGGCTCTCCGGTATCGCAGTCGAATTTAAAAAAAAAAAAAAAAAAAAAACGCGCTCCTCCGATGTTTCGAGTGTTTTGCCCTTTGTGCCGTTTGTGCGCGCGACCAGAAAACCGCTACCAAGCCGTTTACTTTCCTGTGCCGTACACAGATAAAGTCACCAGCGAACTACCGTGAATACCCCCGAGTCCCAAAATGAAATCGTCACCTCGCACGCCAAAACCGCCTCCGAGCTCACGGCCTAGGCATCAAAGTCTCAGGCCCCTCCGTACACGAACGCGGCTGCAACTCCCTCCGTAACTCGTCCCTCTCCTAGGACTTGCTCTGCAACCGCGTCCAACAATCTCGCTCTAGCGATTGACTTTTTTCAGTCGATCGCCTTTAAGCGCGTTAACGCTTTGGGTGACGCCATCTGCGCCGCCTCCACGCACAACACTTAATCGTAGTTGTACAAGAATACGCCGACGTATACGCGTCATGAAATACTCCGCCGGTAATCAAATACGTACAATAATAGAATGAAACTCCAATACTTGACTATAGGATTTTCCTTTTTTTTTTTTAAACGCGTACCGTCTCGCATATCAGCTTGATCAGGTTTGTGATTTTTTTTTGTAGAGACCATGAAATTGACGTTTTCTTAGTACAGAGATCCTATTTAGACCCGCACGCCGCGACCCTGAAATCGCGAATTACAACATACGTAGGAACGAAAGCCTCGTGACGGTGGTACCGTCATTTACAATAGAAGAGCCCTGCACTGCGTTCCGCTCGATGCCCCAGCTCTCGCTAACATTGGGTTAGGTTTGGTTTAGGTTTCCAGGAGGGTACCTCCCGCTCAGCGGGAGGAGAATCCCTCCGTGCCTCCGAGCAATCGGAGGCACGCAGCCCCTCGTATTCTGGGGGGGGCAACAATTGCCAAGACGTAGGAGGCGGTAACACGAACCGCGAAAGGGAGAGGGTCCCATTCGTGCACCCTGAGCGCTGTGACAGCGCGCTCTCACTACGCTCGACGCGAAGCTCCGCAAGGGGATATGCGTCTAGCGGTCGAGAGTCGCCGCTGTTCCTGCAAGACAGCGCCGGGCGGTATNCACTGAGTTTCTCGCCGGATCTTCTCAGTGGGTCGCGTTTCCGATCCGGTGGTAGATTCTGCGAAGCACGACTCTTGCTAGGGTTCGTGTTAGCAACGACGTCAGGTTTGAGCCCCGTGAGCTCACCTACAAAAGTTAGGGTTACGCTGACATAGCCTCTCAAGGCTCTCAGCTTAGGTAGGAAAAAAAAAAAAAAAAATATTTTTCTATAGCGTAGCCTTGGCGAAATTTGTGATTATAGAAGTATAATAAATAGTCTTTGAAAATAGAATCATAATAGTGTACAAATTTATAATTTCAATTAATTATACTCGAATTTCGACTACCGGGCGACCACTAGTACGAAGAAAAACATCAAGATTCCAAAATGATAATAACCATAGAAGATCTATGATAGTGCAATTTCATTTTTTATTTACAGTTTACCTGTTTCGCAGTAATCTACCCTGTAAGTGGTCTTGTTTCGATCTCTGTCGATCCTTTGCTTGAGCTCCGGAGACGCTTCGTTCTGGAGGATGCTGTACAGCATTGGGTATTTCGATTGAAGCTGCAAAACGATAGACGAATCTGTGCCTGATCTTTTTTGCATCCTTATACTTGATTAAACTAAATGTAATCACGAAATCATTGCCATCGGCGCTCTTGTAACTGCTAACTAATCTTGACTACCTTGTACCTTACTGGTGGTAGGACCTCATGTTTTTACTGGTGGTAGGACCTCTTCTCAGTCCATGCGGGTAGGTACCACCACCCTGCCTATTTCTGCCGTGAAGCAGTAATGCGTTTCGGCTTGAAGGGTGGGGCAGCCGTTGTAACTATACTGAGACCTTAGAACTTATATCTCAAGGTGGGTGGCGCATTTACGTTGTAGATGTCTATGGGCTCCAGTAACCACTTAACAACAGGTGGGCTGTGAGCCCGTACACTCATCTAAGCAATAAAAAAAAGGAGTATTTGCAGGGGAAAAAAACCTCAACGATCTATGATTGACGATACTTGATTTTTTTAGAAAGTATGCCGTTGCCACATAATGTCCATTATGGCGTTCAATGTGTTGAATTTGAACTTAAATAAAAAAAAAAACCTTTTTTCTTCTACCTACGCCGAAAGTTCGGTTTTCGTCCCGCTGTACAGGGAAGAAAGTGTAACTTTTCCTCCCTGGGTATTGACAAGTGCGCATGCGCATTAGTGTCTACGTCTGCTCTCACGCACCTAAAATTCTCCGCCATTGTTGTGCTCGGGTCATTTGCAATATTGTGTTTAGTGTAAAAGTGAAATAAACAAAAAGCAATAAAATTTAATAGTGAAGTATTAAACAAAGATGAGTTCATCAGACAGTTCTTATTCAATTAGTAGTAGTTTATTTAAAAAATAAAAAAACAGTTAAATTGTTCTTTTATGAGTATCGTTCTGGTGAGTTCTCGTCTTCGGCTCGGGGGGCAATTTTACACGCGGGAGGAAATGAATGGAAAAAATGTTTTTCTCCCTTTGTGCACAATGTACTTTTATTTAATCGCGGGTTATTTGTAAGTGAATAATCTAACATTCTTATGTATATTCATCATACCTTATCTAAAAATGCATTGGGCTGATCGTAGCGAGATGTTGGAGTTTCAGGACTCGCAGCGACTCGCACGGGATACAGTTTTGGATCTAGGAGAGGACCCATTATCTGAAACAAAGCTTTAGATTTTTTTTATTGCTTAGATGTTTGGACAAGCTCATGACCCACCTGGTATTCAGTGGTTAGCGAAGCCCATAGACATCTACAACGTGAATGCCGCCGCCCACCTTGAGACATGAGTTCTAAGGTCTCACTTTTAACAGTACAACGGCTGCCCCACCCTTCAAACCGAAACGCATTACTGCTTCACGGCACAAATAGGCAGGTTGGTGGTACCTACCCGCGCGGATTCACAAGACGTCCTACTACCAGTGAAGCAATCCCAAAAGCTACAAGCAACAACAGCTACTCAATATCTTTTTTGTTTCAGTTTATTACACGATATTATTCGTTATTAAAGTCTTTCTAAATTTGCGTTAGATAGGGAGCTTCTCAGAAAGCTAGCCCACAGGGTTTCGCCAAAAACCAGCGTCTATAAAACTGCTCAACCAATATTGAACACTCCACCCGCTCAGTTTGCACAGCAGCGCCCCTAACGGCAAACGTAGGAAAACGTTCCAACTCCATACAAATCTGAGTTAGCTTTGACGCTATCGAGAAAGTTCAATGCTTCGCTTTTTTTACAATAAAATATTTTACACTATTGTCAATTTAAATTTATTAAATTTTTTCTATTTTTTAGTTAAATTTTCTATAAAAGCGTATTTTTAAAACTAGTACTTTAACATCAATTCCCGCCTTATCGACTACTTATATAGATAAAAATTATATAAATTGGCAAAAATCTTATTTTGCAAATTGAATAATGGAATAATCTTATCAAATTAGAAATCTGGCCGTTTAAAGTGGGTCAAAATCGCGTCTAAAGGAGTCAATTACAAAACATACATACATACAAGTGAAGCTAATATAAAGCGTGTAAATCTCGCACTAAGCACCCTAAGGTTGCTGCTAATTATGAAACTTGGTTGACTAACGAAAATAGTACCGAAAAGTGTCTTCCGGAGGGTCCATATTGAGTGTTACCTCATTCCGACTCCAGCCGCCCTCCTTCCCAGGCGGCAGTTGCGGCATCTCCCCTCCAGAGTACTGCGGGCATCGGCAGTCGGGCGGCCTCGTATGCTGCATGCATGCTTGGTAGAACGCTAATTCTTGACCAGACAGTTTTGGTGTGCTGTAAAATATCGAATCAAATAATGAGGCGATCAGGGTTAGCGAGGATAATCTTCTGTGTTATGGGTATCGGAAACACTCAGATCCTAGATCAATTTTTTTTTATTGCTTAGATGGGTGGACGAGCTCACAGCCCACCTGGTGTTAACTGGTTACCACCAGAGATACTAGATACCACACCCTTCCTATTTCTGCCGTGAAGCAGTAATGCGTTTCGGTTTGAAGGGTGGGGCAGCCGTTACTGATACTGAGCCGGTACTGAGACCTTAGAAATTATATCTCAAGGTGGGTGGCGCGTTTACGCTGTAGATGTCTATGGGCTCCGGTAACCATTTAACACCAGGCGGGCTGTGACCTCTTCCACCAACCTAAGCAATAAAAAATAGAAATAAAAACATTCGTTGCTATTATAGAACTCCGCTTCCAACAGTCAGGAAATAATACACAGATTGCAGTAGTTCACTTAATTCTGTATTGTTTTAATTATAACTCCACTTGTACAAACTTTAGATACCTGCTCACTACTGAATACACTGCTTTCTTTTTTTTTTAAGGGATTTTATGACCTGGTAACTGAGACCTTTAAGTCATGTTTTATTTTAATTTATATTCATATTTTTATGATAAATGATAGTATGGAATGAAATGAAATAAAGTTGATTAATTTGAGACATTAATCAACTGGGATAATATTAAATGAAATCAGATGAGATGATATGGGATGAAATCTAGTCTCAGTAAAATGGTGGTCATTTACTAAGATTTTTTCAGTAGACTTTTTGGAGGATCCCGAGAAGTTACGTCCAGCGGTTTTGTTTCATTTTCCCACATTTGTGCACTTCCACAGATATTAAACAGTTCATAAACCACAATTATTACACATTTAAACCAGAAGAAACACAAAATAGACAAAATAAAACAAATCATCAAACTTCACTCCACGCGTTGCCGCCAAAAAGTCTACACTGCTTTCTGTCCCGTTTTTTCAGACTACCGTCTTTTTTATTATGTCACGTCCCCACTACTGGCATTGCTCCCACCAACAGTTTTGCTATTTGGCAATCCGATAATTGCCTTAACTTTAACATGATACATTTTATTTTAATTATTACAAACCTTACACTATTCCGATTTTGTCCGTGCGCTTACTCGAGGACGCTAGGGTAATAATGGCACACGAGCGCTACATGGGCTAGAGATTCGCTTTGTCGTCGTGGCCTAAGGGATAAGACGTCCATCGCTCAACACGAGTGCACCGGTGTTCGAATCTCAGGCGGGTACCAATTTTTCTAATGAAATACGTACTCAACAACTGTTCACGATTGACTTCACGATGAAGGAATAACATCGTGTAATAAAAATCAAACCCGCAAAATTATAATTTGCGCAATTACTGGTGGTAGGACCTCTTGTGAGTCCGCACGGGTAGGTATCACCGCCCTGCCTATTTCTGCCGTGAAGCAGTGATGCGTTTCGGTTTGAAGGGTGGGGCAGCCGTTGTAACTTTTTTTTTTATTTTTTTTTATTGCCCTTGTAGGCAGACGAGCGTACGGCCCACCTGATGGTGAGTGGTTACCGTCGCCCATGGACTTCAGTAATGCCAGGGGTAGAGCCAAGCCGCTGCCTACCGCTTAATACTCTCCACAAGCCTCGTTTGAAGAAGGACATGTCATAGCGCTCGGGAAACACCGTGGAGGGGAGCTCATTCCATAGCCGGATGGTACGTGGCAAAAAATACCTCTGGAAACGCACTGTGGATGACCGCAGTGGCTCCAGGTAGTATGGATGAACTACTCCGGTGGCGGGCGGTGCGATGGTAAAAACGAGATGCCGGTATCATCTCGAACAATTCATCAGAGCACTCCCCATGGAACATACGGTACAAAATACAGAGGGAACCGAAGTCCCTGCCCAGACCCAGAGGTTCCAAACGATCCGTGAGACCGGGATTATCGACAATCCGAACTATACTGAGACCTTAGAACTTATGTCTCAAGGTGGGTGGCGCATTTGCGTTGTAGATGTCTATGGGCTCCAGTAACCACTTAACACCAGGTGGGCTATGAGCTCGTCCACACACCCTAGAAATAAAAAAAAATTAAAAAAAATATCTTTGATAGCGAGTATAGCTCTGTAAGCTATCATTTGTCGTATTTAGACTACAACAGTAGGTTATTGCGATGTTAAGCCGTTGTTATTCTAAATTACGACTCTGTCTGAAGACATCGAAGTCTCAGTGGTATCGTCGACTGTCATATCCTTAAAAGAGGACCACAGGAATGCGGCAGATCCGTGGTGCTGCAGCAGGAAATGAATGAAACAATTCAGTACATACTCAGCTAGGCCTGAGGTTTCCCCATCGCCACCCACATGAGGTAAGTTCGGCCACAAATAATCTTTTCTGTAGGTGGTGAGATAATGATCCATCTTGTTTGTATGTTTGTCCGTTTACACTAAAATTTTGAATTGTTCATTTTCGATTTTGGATTACAAAAGAATATCCAAAGTGTACTAATTTAACTAGATGATTTTGTAAAAAAATGTCAAAAATGACATATTTAGTCATGGTAGTTTGCCGTAAGTTTGTAATGTAAATATTTCCAAATTTTAATCTATGGTCGAAAGATAGAATGGACGTTGAGTAGAAGAGTAGAAAGTTTTTACTGGTGGTAGGACCTCTTGTGAGTCCGCGCGGGTGGGTACCATCACCCTGCCTATTTCTGCCGTGAAGCAGTAATGCATTTCGGTTTGAAAGGTGGGCCAGCCGTTGTAACTATACTTGAGACCTTAGAACTTGTATCTCAAGGTGGGTGGCGCATTTACGTTGTGGATGTCTATGGGCTCCAGTAACCACTTAACACCAGGTGGGCTGTGAGCTCGTCCACCCGTCTAAGCAATAAAAAAAAAATAAAAAAAAATGATTCAGCCAAAATAGTGACGGCGATTTGTGGTGGGGAGGTAGCTAAGAACCAGGAGAAGGACATAGGATTTTTTTATCACGTTCCCATGGGACGTGACATAAAACGTGGTATAACAAAACGCCACTTATAGCTAAACGTAATGTAGTCTATGGTTAATTATAGTAGAATTTTGAAGTTGACCGGTTGATGTGTTTGTTTCGAGTTTCTGTTAGCTTATTGTGCCAAGATAGGTAATCATTAAGAAAACCATACCGCAACCAACACGATCAAATCTTTCCCGACGAAGCCGTAAAGAAACTAGGATTCGAAACATTGCGAGTGAAAGGACTGAAGAATAACAAGAAATTAAAATATTATAATAATAATAATAGCAACTACAATACGTGGCCAATAAAGAATCATTAAAATACTTGCTTTTTTAACATACATTAATTATCCAAATAAAAAATTTACCTTGATAAAATCAAAAGTCTGCTCATTTATTGCCTCTAAGGCGGAACACAGTTCGCCGGGTCACCTAGTAAGATATATTTTAATCAATAAAACAAAACTGAACTGTTTATTCAAATTTATTTGTTGAAAACTGAAACTAAATTAATTCGGTTCACGGTCGATTTTTATTGATATCTCAAATGACAAATTTCAAATAACAATAATACAAGAAAAAACATTGAATACTTCAATAAAATATCAATGCATTCAGATTCTGTAAGTATAAGTGTATGGATTTGACCAGCGGCCGTATTTGGGTTCTTCGCGAGCTGGGCCGAAAGGGTTCTTTTCGAGGACGACCTTGGCTAGAAGACCGTGACAAGAGCCGTACGTGGTGTCTCCAGTACGCGTGCGCAATATGCGTCGTAGTTCCTCTGCGAATACAGTACAGTGCAGTTAGTGCGAGTTTTTTAACGTTCTCGATAACGTTAAAGTTAAATCAAATTTGTATAGATTTGGAACGTTTGCCTACGTTTGCCGCTAGGGGCGCTGTTCCAACTGCATACAATTTTGAGTTACTTTTACGCTATCGAGAACGTTAAAAAACTCACACTAAGCACACAGATCTTAACAGGTCCAGAGGCCCACTGACTTTTGCAGCAGGTAACTTTCAGAGCAGTAACTACTAAATTGACCGACTACTACTTTATCTTTGTTTACCCATTGGGTCAAAGCGGTAAATGTACGACGATATCCAAAAATAATTTGAACATAATCCTCACTAACTTTGCAAGCTATCGTCAAATTTCGGTCTCATTGACATCGATGAAGGTGGATCTGCATATTTTTCTGGCTGCGGAGCCCTATACGAGCCTTTTTGGCTCGTGTCCGGAATGTATATGTCGTCTGGCAGTCGAAGGGTTTGTAGGGCTTTTGCTCGCCTCACCAAGTTCACGGACATAAACGGCAACTCTGCAAAACAAAATACGACAAGCCAATGTGGACTCCTTATTAAGATACGTATCTGTTTTCTGGAGGCTTATAACTTTTTTGTACATAGAAGATTTTTTAATTGGCACATGTGCAGTCCAGATGTTGAGTGGTCATTGACATCAGTTTTTCCAGAGGGACAGCCAAATCTTTGCTTACCGTTCAAGAATTATTTCGTGCTACAGTAACTAATATCCACACATACAAATTTGCACAAACATCGTATCTAATGTATTAAACGGACTGAAAGTTTTCCACACCTCTAGAACAGTATTTAGTCAAATACTCTGTCCTTTTTAAGTCCTGGATGCCGTGATCGATCGGAACTGGATCAATATCCTTCGACATGTACATCTTTGTCAGTTTCGGGTAATCTTCTGCGAACTGATAAATTTGAATGATTTAAATAAACGTATTTATTTATTTATGAGCTCTAATAAGTTTACATGTTGATGTGATATGCAAGTGACATTATGCTAACACAATTATAGATAACGTTCCATGTAGTGGAGAATCAAGTGGTTCATTTTTATCTATCTCTATGTACCTATAAATGAATTGCTGTTCGTTAGTCTCGCTAAAACTCGAGAACGGCTAGACCGATTTGGCTAATTTTGGTCTTGAATTTTATTTGTGGAAGTCCAGAAAAGGTTTAAAAGGTAGATAAATATGAATTAAATAAAAATAAAAATTTTCTTTTTTTTGCTTTTGTTTGTTTAAGTTTATTTTATACAAAAGTTTAGGTCTTTTATTTATCGATTGAGGCACTACGAAGTCTGCCGGGTCAGCTAGTATACAATAAAAATATTTAAAAGACATCAAAAATGGTCAAGGCAGAGAGATTCTAAAATTGCTAATAGCGGCAATCAAATCAAAGGAATATGTAGTTGTTAGATAAATTATTTATTTCCGCATCTAGTCTATTGAGAGGTGCATTCATTTATGATGGTGTTAATACCTAGGTACTATAAGAACCTTGAGCTCTGAAGCTATTTTCGATAGTAATAGCAAAGAGTTCAAAATAAATTGGGGACATCGAGCTAATAACGTGATCGATATAGTATGTTATGTACTTCGCGTTCTAAAGTCATTATCGATAATCAATGACAACATAACAGTGAACACGAGAACACCATAACGCTTTTTTTTACAATAAAATCACTTTTTCTTACCATATTTTTAATTCAAATTTATTAAAATTTATTTTAAATTTTTTAGTTGGATTTTCTATAAAAGCGTAGTTCATTTTTTTAGTTGAATTTCAATCTTTTCATAATTTATATTTTTATTTTCAAAAATTTCATCTGGATCAGTCGGTAACTCATCCGAGAAATAGGTGATCGGCGCGCCTGGTAGTTTCCCTTCTTAGTCTTGACGCAGACACTCCGGGTCTCAGGAGAAACAAAAAATCGCTAATCCTGATTATCCCAGTAAGGATAGCGGATCAAACTGTTTAAAATATTGAATTGTCATCGGTCCTTAATAAGTATGCCAAATTTCGAGTTAATCCGACGTTTTGAAGGGGGTCAAAATCATGTTCAAAGATTCAGTTACATACTAACATACGTATGAAGCTAATAAGAGTGTATTAATAGCATTATTTTACACGTTTCACTGCATCCTTATAAAACTCCTGTGTGAGAGGGCAGAGAACGTCCGGCTCCTTTTTCGGAGCCGCTCTGGCCTTCAACGGGTCCCGACTCAAGCCAACGATGAGGCAGTCGTCGTCAACAGCTTTCCGACGAGGGCTCGGACTGTAATCATTTAAGTTTTAAAAAAAACACATGCGCAGACAGAAGGAGAATATGAGGACGTCAGCGCAAAAGTGGTCTAACCCATAACTTTTCATATTCGTACTTATATATCGCAATTTATTTAAAACATAATAAATGTTGATACAAAACCTGCCTATCCCTAGTTTCACTCATGGTTTACAGATGGCTTCGTAAATATTATTTTTGCACGCATTGTTTTTGCCTATGAAACAGTAAAAAAATTTTATCAGCGTAAACTACAGTAAGCTTAGGCCACTTTTCTGCTGACCAACTCATATGTAGTGGCAAGGCGTTATAAATACTAACGACGTATGCTCTACATTCTTCTGCTACGCCAAAATATATCATAATAACAATGCTCGTAACGTGGGATTCCCTGTGCACCTCGACCTCCGGTGAAGCTCAATCAGCAATTACGTTAATCGTAAAAAAATCATCACAAAACTCACGGCTTATTGTGTTTCTTGTAATCAACCATGTAAACAGATTGATATTCTATATCTCCATCAAAAACGGACATTGTGGTATGTAAGTATTTTTTAATTAAAGTGTTTAAAGTCTTATTTTTATCTAAAGTCGATTAATTGTCACAGGTTATACGAAATATAACCTGAAAAATTTAGTTTTGAAAAGTTATCAATAAAAAGTTTGATTATGTTGAATCAGAGTTTTTTAACCCTAAATAAAACTAAGTGACGCCCAAAATAAAATACTGTTTGCCAAGAATGTTTCTAATCACAAGTTGTTTATTGAAGGAGTATTCTTATCAAAGATAAATTAATTATTAACCATATTCTCTGACATTGTGTCAGTTTTACATTATTTTTATGCAATTATTTCACATTCTTATTGGGTTTTGATTCATGGTCTAATCGGGTGATCTGTTCTCAGGTTCTCAATCTCTTCAGAAGAGGTTTATAAATTTTTATTTACTGTTTTATCACGTATTAAACTTTATTAAAAAATCCTATTAAAAAAGGGTAAAAGTCAAAACGAATTTAACAAATTCAATTTTAATAAAAAATCTTTTTTAATTGAGAAAATAGCTGAATCTTTCACCACAGATAAAACAATTTTTTTTTGTTCAATTACTGGTGTAAGACTCACACGGGTATGTACCACCGCTTTGCCTATTTCTGCCGTGAAGCAGTCACGCGTTCCAGTTTAAAAGGTAGGACGACATATTATGAAAACAAAATAGCAAAGCTTCTATGGTGTCAGTTTTGCAAACACAATGGTGACTTGAAGCTAGTGAAGAAGCGCCACATTAATACAAGAACTACATTTCCTTCTAATATTTAAAAACAGCGAAACTAGTATTCAATAATTATTATTCACATATAGCATGATTCTTCGAAATAAAAATTAAATATACTTGTGAATGGCCCACCCGATGTTAAGTAATTACCGGAGCCCATAGATAGAATAAAATATAGGATAGAATATGTTACTGCCATCTACAGGAGCAATGAGTAACTAATCGAAGAGAAGCCATCTAGTTGGCGATGCCCGTAAACATTTTTGTTGAGTGCTTGAGTTGCTTATCTATAACTCATTTTTGTGTCTTATCTATGACTGCCTCTTTCTAAACGTTGCACAAACTGCGTGCGGCAACCGTAACGGGTAGCGCTAGTGTTGCGCTCAGTTGATTGCGCGGGAACCGAACTAGTTGGCGGGAGATATCAAAATTTAAACCCTAAAATCGAACACTTAAAATCTCTGATATCATACACTTAACAACCCACGCTTTTAAGTTTTTGAAGTGAAAACTTCTTTAGAATCGTTGTGATTTCAAACCGGATGCAACGGAAAAAACGACAGGTAAGAGACACAAATACAAAAATGTGTAGGATGAAGCCAGCAAAGAATGAGACAGAAATTTACATACTATTTAATACAGCGCCATCTGTAAGAGATTTTTTAATACTAACGTGTGTATGAAAGCTCTTGTAGTGAATTTTAATTTAGGATTATACGTGAAATTAAAATATCAATTCACAGAGGGCGCTTACAATTATACCTTACCTTACAATTATTTACTAAAGACAAAATTTTACATATACTTAAGACGTTTAGGATAATTGTATTTTAATTTTGGAAGGTTTCACTTCTACCACGTGTGAATTGCACACATTTTGTTTATGAAATTTATGAAAAAAATAAAACCAAATTTTAAATATGTATAAATTATATTCTCATACTTGACCCAATTCTTGTTGTCTAAGGACCGTCCTAGTTAAAGACGTTGCTATGATGACATGTAATATTTTATTATATTTATATAAATACTTATATTCGTAACTAACTACAGTCAGTCGATTTTCTTCATAAACTACATCATAGTACATTTCAAAATTTGATATATTTTTACATTAATTACAGAATAATATCGATAAGATTACGAAAGGCAAGCATGTTTTTAATAATTTTTTTTTTTTCATTACACAAAAATAAACATTTTTCTTCGATATTCAATTTCATTAAACATCTCTTATAAATCAAAATTTCAATAACTTAGTTTGCTAGTGGTACTTTTTTTAATTTACGGTTTTTTTTAATACCCACATTATATAACTTAAGTAGCCGTTCCAGGGCCTATAGACAAAGTTCAGCTTATGGCATGAGGTCTAAAGTCTCAATACAACTAGTGTCCCACCCTTCAAACCGGAATGTTTGTCTGCTTTGTGGCAGAAACAGTTAGGTCGGGGTGCCACGTCCACGGCGCCCCCTGACTTTGATTAGGCCTCACTGACCGTAGTCGAACACAAGAGAAACGAACAAAATTATGAAAAATCACATTTAAATAATATTAATTTGATACAAATATTCAATGCAAAAGTTACAATGTTTATTTTACAGGAAAAACTAATTGCATTAACAAATCAATTGTTCTAGAACATTATGATACGGACAAATCAAAAGTTTACTCGGAATAAACTTAAAAAGTGACTCGAATTAATGAAAATATATTATTATATATGCAAAAAAATATCGTTAATAATAATCTTAATTGCAATTCAAAAATTAACATACACGTAGGTGCTGTAATTAATCACACATAACATACTAATATAATTGTGCTTACAATTGAATTAATTATAACATTATCGTATCATGCTTTTTAAATAAAAATGAGAATTAACATCTGATCAAATCTTTTGCAAATGTTAAAAATGTGTCACTTTTGATAAGAAATTCTTTACAAAATACATCTGGTTCCAGAAACGAAAGAAATATTCCAATTGTTCTGTGTCAAAAATTGTATTAGTTATGAGTTATATAGATTCCCCTAATTAGTCATGTCATGTTTATGTGGATACTGATTTGAAAAATTCCTAAGTGATTTAGTAGGAGATAATTGTTTTTTGACATATCAGGCTGACGAACATAAGGCCTGAACCTGACACACGTATATGTATATATTTAAAAGATTAAACATTAACTTTATCATCGATTCTTCGCTGGGATGAAACTGGATACACAGTGGACGCTTAGTTGAATAAAAGCTGTCTGAATGATTAGATTTAAAAGTTAATTAGTAATAAAATAAATAATAGAACTCAAAGGAGCGTTTGCAATGACTTCTTTTTTTTTTAATACACAAATTCGTTTTTTTTTTACAACGATTATTAAATATCCTACCGGGGACACCAAAATCTCATCAAACAAAGGGTTTATTAATTACTACTTTATTAATTCCAATTATTACGATCAACGTCGAATTAATTTATTTTAATTAACAAAAGTCTTAAAATTATTATCAATACATGCAAAATCAACGGTCGCTCTTTGATACAATTATTAATTATTAAATTGTCTGTATGTACCGAAAAAATATATTATTGTCTGTGGTAAAGTTAATTAACTGTCTATGGGAAATGTCAGTCGGAACAATAATCGCACTATTAATCGGAAGATTGAACTTAAATCTCTTCTCCTTTACTCGCATTTACTTAATAACTCGAGAAAGAGAGACGGGTAATGTAGTTTTAAATGAGGCCGCAAATATCTAGTGGGAAAATAGATGTACAGCGGACGGCAACGTCAATGAAAGCGATCAAACAACAAAATCCGATTCTGCACCTAAACGTTAAGGAGTTATAATCGTTTTTCGCGAATACAAAATCTAGGTGGGTTCATTTATGAGAAAATAAAACAATTTAAAATAATTTTGTCAATAACAATATCAGTCAGTTCACATTCTTAACACGTGGATTTATAAGCTTCCGATATAATTCACAAAGTCCTTATTAAAAGGCTCCCGAGTGGGGGGACGGCCCCCGCCGCAGCCCTAGGGGACCCGGAAGGGCACCACCAGGTCCTCCCGGTGCTCGACCCTGAGCTCCGATATGGCGGCGGCAGCTCGTCTCACTGCGCCGCTTATCTGTAGAACGCGATTAAATCATCAACTTTTTTTTTCTTCTTTTTTTATTAATATAATTTTTATATACAGATTAATAATCATTAATTAACAGTCAGCTTTACTTAATCTTACAAATTTACTCCCAAAAAATGATAGAAACAATTAGCTGGCCTTATATAGAAGGCAGATGAAACTAAAGCCCGCCTGATAGCCTTAAGAGGCTGTCAGCGTGACCGGGCGATTAGGTGAGCTCACGGGGCTCAAACCGGGAGTGTTGTTAACACTGGTCCTACCAAGGGCAGTGCTTCGGAGAATCCACCACCGGATCGGAAACGCGACCCACTGACAAGAGCCGACGAGAAACTCAGTGTACTGTGTCTATGGATTAATTTACTCGTGGAACCCTTTGCTGCAAGCGACGGGTTCGGCGAGGACGATGACCGGTGCTTGAGGTACCTAAAAGCACCGTTAATGGATCGTGAGGATCCGTAATGACGTGTTTAGGGCGACGTCAACTGTTTACCATTCCTTCCACAGGATCGGATATAAGCAGGCGGTTACTAACTGTACTAACAACATACGCACTTCACAAATGTTCACACGCGATTTCCACAATAAGGGAATAACATCGATTAATAAAAATAAAATCACAATATATACATAGAGTATTTAGTTTAAAATTGAGACATAGATCGCAAGGCGGGTGACAGGATTAATGTTGTGATAGGTTCCAACTCACCAGCTCCTTATCTGCGGCCGGTAGTGGGGGGCAGCTGAGTAGGGCTACTCGCTCGGCGTGGGTGACGTCAGCGAGGAGCCGCGGCGCGGGGCGGGGGGCCGCCACGCTCACGGCCGCCACCCGCGCCGTGTACACGCGTACCCGCTCGCTGTACGCGCTGGCCTCCAGTGTGTACGGGCCCAGCGCGCCCACGTCGATCACATTACTGTCGGTATAAGTCGCGCCAATAAAGAAACAAATCGAAAATGGCGTCTATGTACTTGCACTGACAGATGGTAGGGTCAACAAATTAAAAGAAAGATAGAAAGAAAAAGTTGTTTATTGTAGAAAAATATAAAAACACAAATGAGAATGTGCTTTACTTTATGCCCTGGCAGAGGAGGAGGTGTCTCATCTGCAACTTGCGTAGACACTTGCTGCTAGTCATCTAAGTCGCACAACTCGAAAGTGAAAAAACTCGAACTCAACAACAAAGTCAGACTGATATTTTTTTTGCATGCAGTACGCGCCGTGTGCGACTAAAGACAGCAATAGTTTAGAGTGAGAGCGCATGATCGCCGCCGTCATTTTAGATTCGTTTCTTTATTGGCGCGGCTTTTAACAGATTTCGAGTAGCAAATTCGCCTTTTTTTTCCTGCCTAGCTGAGAGCCTTGAGAGGCTATCTCAGCGTAACCTTAACTAGTAGGTGAGCTCACGGGGCTCAAACCTGATGACGTTGCTAACACGAACCCTAGCAAGAGCAGTGCTTCGCAGAATCTACCACCGGATCGGAAACGCGATCCACTGAGAAGATCCGGCGAGAAACTCAGTGGGCTATGCCTGAGGGTTAATTTACTCGTCGAGCCCTTCGTCGCAAGCGACGGGTTCGACGAGAACGATGACCCGCTACCATCGCCGGTCTTCATCGACAAGCAAATTGTAGCGTGCAACATTCGGTCGCACTCGGAGTTCCCGAACGCGCAAGTATCCCGTGACGTCATGCTTCAAAATTCGCGCGCGTCGATTTAAGTTGAATGTAAAAACGTAATTTTAGTTTTAATTCGTATCTTCCAGTGCCTAGCGTTGTTTACTTAACTTTTGGTTTATATTTTAATATTGTACACATTACAGATATTGTTGAAATGGTGTGTTTGACTTTTATATAATAATATGTTCGGAGTAAAATATCCCGCGAATGCGAGGGACAAATAACAAACCACAAAATCAATAGTGGGCAAAAGATTGAGTTGTTGAAAATCAGCAGCTACACACATTTAAAACACTAATTTAGAGAGCTCCATGAGCGACGGCGACTACTCACCTTCAGATGGGCGGTGTCCTCGCCTACAAAGGTAATTTTTTCCCTACCTTAATCACTGGTAGCCTAAGAAGCGACATAAGCGAGCCCACGAGCTCAACTTGAGAGAGTTTGCTAACACTGGGTCCAGCAAAACTTCGCAAAATCTACTACCAGATCGTAATCACTAACCACTGAGGAGATCCGGCGAGACACTTAATGGGTTGTGTCTATAGGGTAGTTTGCGGGTCGTAATCGACAAGTCCACCAAGAATGGTGACCTGGAAAAATAATCTTACTTTGCAGTCTCATGAAGTATCCTATTCAAAGCAGTCTGTTCGTCTGGTTTCCTCGGTGGTGTGGACGCTGATACCACAGGTACCAGCGTCTCCTGTTGCTGCTCCGTTACTTCTAGTAGATGTGTCCTTTCGTTTATAACGTTCTCCTGGAAACATTTACGATTTGAAACAGATTTTAATACCTGTATCGTTTTGCACAGTAAGAGTTTGTATCCTTCTTAAGCTGGGTCTTATAAATGAGTCGACTATTATCAAAGCCGGCAATGTGACTTTTGGATAATTATTGGTAAATCAGAAAAACTAATTATTGACTTTGTATTCCATTGGCAGTCACAAAACTCTTCTGAACGACATCTTAGATAAATAACAGGTTATGTATTAACCTTTATTTAATGCAGGTTTTGAACCGTATTCTTTGAAGGAGACAATTATATTCAAATCAATCTGTATTGAAATATCAATAAATTTTTTTTGTCCAAATGCACATGACAGATTGCCACCTTTGATAATAGACGACTCAAATAAACGCATTTTACATGCATGGTTTTCTGCATAAATATAAGCGAAACAGATCTCAAACTAACTCTTACAGTTTACACTATACTTCTTAGTTATGAATTGGTTTTCAATTTTAGTGATAATTTTGTAACATCATCTGTGTACTAATACTGTAAATAGCAGAAACAATTCTTTTCACAGATTTTAACTGGCAGAAATTGCTAAATATATAATTATTGTGTATGTAAAATTTTTTTTTTATTGCTTAATGGTTGGACGAGCTCACAGCCCACCTGGTGTAAAGTGGTTACTGGAGCCCATAGACATCTACAACGTAAATGCGCCACCCACCTTGAGATATAAGTAAGTTCTCAGTATCGTAACAACAGCTACCCCACCCTTCAAACCGAAACGCATTACTGCTTCACGGTAGAAATAGGCAGGGTGGTGGTACCTACCCGTGCGGACTCACAACAGGTCCTGCCACCAGTAAATGTATAACATATTTTTGTTTGTTGGTTCTTTATGTTTACATGTTGGTCATAAATTAAATTAAAAAGTCTAACCAAAACTTTCATAATTATTCAAATATAAAGCTAAGACATTTTAAAGTATGTTTTACTTTTATATAAATATTATACTATTATTGGATGAGTTTAAACATGTTTTTAATGGTTATTTCCCAATATTTTTACTAGAAGCAGACAAACCTTGTCTCGTTCAGTTTTGGATTTTACCAGTGAACCCAGTGCCTAGCCCAAAGAAACAATATACGTATACAGTGCAGTGGCTTATTTCGGTATATATTGAAAACACATTGTTTCTTACTAATGGTTAGAGCTTGTTAATCTACTATATTTATAATGTTGATAATGTCAAAAGACAAATTCAAAAAAAAACAATCTATTACTATTTTTAATTACTATTTTAAAACTTGCATAGGTGTAAAGTATGTAAATTGATGATTCTAAGTATACCACATTGTTCTTTGTACGTTTTTTCCAGCTTTCAGATGATTATTTAATACCACGCTAGTTAAAATGTTCCAGTTTTGCTGTAAAACATGTGTGGAGTATTTTTTGTTTAAACCTTCAACAAGAAAACCTTAAGCATTTTTCGGCAAGTAGGTAGTCCACAAAATGGAACTCAGAACAACGTGGAACTCAGAACAATGTGGAACTCAGAAGACTCAAGTTTGGTAAGTCAAATGCATAAGGTAAATCATCCCATCTGAGTGTTTTCAACATATCACACACTGTGATAAGGCATTGTTATGAAGGAATTGTGATTGAATTGTTCGATTCAATTAGATTCAAACATAATTAATTGTTATACTTGCATATAACATATTTGGTCATTTTAGGACCAGAACTCTCAACTCTTACTTTTAGAGTTTTATTTCACATTTCTTTTTCTCTTCTAGAAGATTTTTTTTGTTTGACATAAATTTATTTTCCTTTGTCTGTGCTAGATTGTTTTTAGCAATAAGACCACCCGTTGTACTTTTTGTTTACTGTTTTGCATTTTTTATTATTTTATTTTGGTGAACAATAAGGCTTACTCTATTCGCTCACTCTCACTCTAATCTAAAATTATTGGTTGGATGCCAAGAAAATAAATATGCACCACATTTATAGAGTCATTGTCATTAGTAGATTCAACCTTATGCAGCTGAGTTCAAGAACTAAGTTATAACAAGGTTCTATATAGTATTATTATACAAACTAATAATCATACAAGTGGGCGGAACAATACACGATAACAATTACAACGTAAATTTATGATTAGGCATAGATAATATCCACTGTTTTGCAATTGTAATAAATGTAGTTTCTTGGTAAGAAAATTAATGATTTGTTAGAATATAATATTATACTTCAGTTGGTAACAATGTACTCCGATAACTTAATCTAATGTTTACTCTCGATAAAACTGAACATAATAGTTCAATAATGTCATTGTCATGTAGGAAATGCGATATTTCACACATTTCAAGTAGACACGTTTGTTTCAGTATTTTATGTAGGGTATATAACATTAATTGACAAATCATGCATATTGTGACGCATTCATACCGTCCTTTTTTCGTACTTCAGCAAAATAAACGAATTAAATACCTGTGGGTCGTTGTCTTTGTGGCAAATGCTATAGCAACAACCCATTACGGCTGTTTTTAAAGAGTTGAAGCATGAATGCAACGAAGTATCCTCGTCGTCGGACTGCATAAATGTTTTGTATCGTGATCTCTTGGCGTGGATAAAAATAGAAAATATCGTAGGTATGCCGCTAACAGTCGACGTTCGTGTTACATGAAATGAGTGGTTCTCTTTTGACACTTGACACAGTCAGATTTCATAGTCATTGACAGTAAACAAGAAACATCGGCATTAACTGTCAAAAAAATAATTTCGTTCTGAAACTAAAATCCAGATAGTTCTATATATAGATAGACCATATTCTATGGGTTATTTTATTGACGTATAAATAAATTGCTTTTGTTGAAAAGATTATAAATCTAACTAAATTAAATAATGACATCTTAAAATCTTAAAATCCTCTTAAAATCCAGAAATAGCCTCAGCTTTAATAAAACTCAATAATAAAACTTTTTTCAATTATGGTTTTAAAAATTTTCTTAAAGAATAATTATGGAATTAATCTTAATATTAGTTTCCACCCTTTCATGGGTCCGTTTTTTATAATAATGATCTTCATTTACGTAAATAAAATTAATTGCTTTGTTTATAGACGACGGCCGTCATCTGCCAATTTCGGCTGTCAAAAAATAACAACACGTCTACGGACAACGACCTCGGAATTATAAATTTATTTTACTTATTAAAATCATAAAGTACTAAAAAAACATGTTAAGGTATCGAGGGAAAAAGAACATTTTGGAAAAAGTAAAGGAATACGATGCTTTCCCTAAAGTTCCTGATGAATACGTCGCGAGTACCCCGGTAGGAGGAACGTTTTCAGTTATCACATTTTTCATTATCCTTTGGTTAATTTATAGTGAAGTTACGTACTATTTAGACAGTAATTTAGTATTCAAATTTATGCCAGACATAGACATGGACGAAAAGTTACGAATAAACATTGATATAACCGTAGCAATGCCTTGCTCGAACATCGGTTCTGATATCTTGGACTCAACCTCGCAAAGTGTTTTCGGATTCGGTGAATTACAAGAGGAAGACACTTGGTTCGAGCTCACAGAAGAACAACAAGACGCGTTTGACGCTATAAAGTATATAAATTCTTATTTAAGAGAAGAGTATCATTCCGTTTGGCAGCTACTTTGGAAAAAGGGTCATGGCTCCGTTCGCTCTACTATACCAGAGCGTAAAACGAAAATGAACACACGGCCGGATGCCTGTAGACTTCATGGAGTTCTGACCTTAAATAAAGTGGCTGGCAACTTCCACATAACTGCAGGAAAGAGTCTACATCTGCCCCGTGGGCATATACACTTAAATATGCTCTTTGATGATACTCCACAGAACTTCAGTCACAGGATACACCGTCTCAGTTTTGGCAGTCCAACCAATGGGATTATTTACCCTCTAGAAGGTGACGAGAAGATCACGAATGATGAAAATATGCTATATCAGTATTTTGTTGATGTTGTACCAACTGACGTTGACAATACATTTGAGACAGTAAAAGCATATCAATATGCAGTTAAAGAGTTAGAAAGACCCATAAGTCACGTGAAGGGATCTCATGGAGTTCCTGGTATTTTCTTCAAATATGATATGGCTGCATTGAAAGTTAAAGTGTATCAAGAGAGAGAAAACATGCTGCAGTTCACGTTAAGACTATTTTCAGTAATAGGAGGCATTTATGTTATAATAGGATTTATTAATGCAATAGTGTTAACGTTACAATCATACTTTGTGACAAAACCAATTAAAGATAAAAAACAGTTAGAGGTTAAAACACCTCAAAATAACTACACAACCAATGCTTTGTTTGTGGCAACAGAGCTAAGTGTTCCAGTTGAACTTGTAAAACAATAATAGATAGTCAATTCTTAGTCTTAAGGGAAATTTATTGATGTTTCTTAATTGTAAATAAGCATTTATTTTTTACAAAGTTGTAACATATTAATTAATGTACTGGCTGTGTTCACTGTATACAATGTTGTTAGTAAATTTGAAAGAAAAAAAATCAATTAGCCTGTACGTCTAAATCACCACAAATACAGAGAGAGTTGCACATAAATAAATACTTCTATTAAATAACTTATATAAATAACAAAAGCTACTTTTTATGGTAAAGATGTATAAATCTAATTATTTATTATACAACTGAGACAGAAATAACAGTGAAGCACAGCAAGTTAAATGTTTCAGATATTAAAAAGGTTTTATGAATGTTTTAACAGCTAAATGCTGCTTTGCAATTTTTTATTTCCATAATAATTACTTATCCAGTTTTTAATTTATTAAGAATTTTATTGTTACAATCAAAATGAGTGTCTTGAATTTAATGGATTTAATTTAATGTAAAAAGGAAAATCACATCTTGAATACACTTTGCAAAGTTGTATGTGGCACTATAGACATATTCGATTGGACTTGTTAAAAGGAACTAAAAAAATTTGTTTATAAATAAATCATAAATTACAGGTACGAAATTATAAATTTTTTAACTAAATGAGTATTTAGTGAGATTTTATGTGTATCAATAATGAAAAAAAACTTTTTAAAAATATATTAAGTTTAATTAAACTTTTCTACTGATGACTAGTAGTAGGGGAGTAAGGGGAGAACGGAGCATAACATCTTTTCCGGCCCAACTGTCATCCTCACCTGCTCGCGCTAGTGGTTCTTTCAGAATAGCTAGCGGCGGCGGCCCAAAGGTCGCCGCGGTGCTCCCTGCCAGACAACGGACGAGGCAATGGCGACCGAGCAATGGCGGTATAACCATACGTACCTAACCGGGAAACCGATTAGATGAGGCTTCAGCAACCTAGGAGCCCAAATAGCCCCTAAAAAGCCTGGTGCAGAAGGCAAGGGGAAACCACTGCACTATTTTCCCAAGAAAACCACATGAATAGATTACTTAATGAGAGTGTTATGTCATGCAATCCGACTGACCCCCGGCGCCATAGTGATCCCGGGTCACANATTAGAGAAGCTCATAATTACGGGTCGAATAGAAGGCAAGCGCGCCGTGGGCAGAACACCAGCCAGATGGTCGGATCTAGCAAGAGAAGCACTCGGTGGTAGTTTGTACCATGCAGTCCATGCCACCCATGATCGGGTGCATTGGAAGTACATCGCATGTGGTCGCGATCCTCAGTAGTGAGGGAACGATATAGAAGAGAAGACTGATGACTAGTCATCATAATGAATGTCAGGGTTCATAGTCCTTAAGAAACAACATAGTGAACTTTCAATATTCTAAAATCAAAATTTATGTAAAATGAAACCTATCCATTAATACATTGGCAACTTGGTAGCACTATGAGTCTATGAAGACTTTGTAACCATTAATGGAAATTAATTTTTTATCCGGATAGATCTGAAACTTAATTTTAAATTTAAATTCGAGAAGGATCGAAGATGGGTCTTCTCGTTGTTATGATAAGTATTTACTTGTTTGAAATTATCTGTTTGAAATCTTATAACTTTCAAACTGTTAATGTAAATATTGTGTACATCACAACCAGTGGTCAAAAGGGGAGGAACATTTGTAGACTCATTTATATTCTTATGGAGTGGTGAAAACTTGACTAATTTTATTTTTGTGCTCAGGTTTAAATGATCGACTTCCATTTAGAAGGAGTAATATCGTGTAATAAAATGGGTTAAACAATAATTGTGTCATAAGGGTTATATTCCGCCGTATTGCTCATTTCTACTGCAATCACGTGGTTGGGTTTGAGGCTAAGACTGGTTATTACAATAAGCCGATGTCTGGACCCCACTACATTGTTGGCCGTAAACTTTTCATTGACAACAATATTTTCTAAATATTCGCATCAATTCAAAGTCTAAATAATTACATAAAATCAAAGTTTAATTATCTACATGAACATAATTATTGTATATACTTTGAACTTGTTTTATGCAATAAAATTATTATTTTCTTAGCAAATCTTAAGTACTATTGTATGGATTACTTATGCGGATTGTGACGTTTATGATTATTCCATGATCTTTAAGTTTTACAATGTGACTCTCATTAAAATGAATCTTGAATATATATATATATTTATATTTTGCTGACAATTTTATTGTTTATGTATTATTATTATTGTTATTTTTTTGTTAGTCAAAATACATTTTATATATTCTTCTATAATTCTGTTTGATTCTCACCTTTCGCTAAGCTGTAGTTACCTGTCCTGGTGAAACTGGAAAGGCTTCCGAGCCACCAGTAATCCTTCAATCATAAAAAAAGGCTGTAGTTATGCTCAACTGACGTTTTTAAGAACGGCTTGACCTACGCATCATTGGAAATACAAAGTACTGCAAAAGAAATATGTAGTTTCTTTTAACTCTCTTAACTCTATTTTAAGGAACTACATATACTCTTTTTTTTTATTGCTTAGGTGGATGGACGATCTCACAGCCCACCTGATGTTAAGTGGTTACTGGAGCCCATAGACATCAACAACGTAAATGCGCCAACCACCTTGAGATATAAGTTCTTAGGTCTCAGTATAGTTACCACGGCTGCCCCATTCCTCAAACCGAAACGCATTATAGTTCCCGGCACGTAACTTGGCAAGAGTCGTTAGATGCGCAGAAGTTGTTTTTTAGGTCTCTTTGGTTGTCACGCGGGACGCGGGGAAAGACGTAGCACCGTTCCGAGCGCGCGATTGGTGAGTCAGTCGACTCTCCCCTCCCGCACCGCATCCACGTTCCGTTCGCTCCTGATTACACATGCGCCTACTAAATTGTAGGAACCATTTGTTTATATTGAGTTTTTGTTACGAGTTGTTATTATTGTTCTAAATTTAGTTTTTGTTACGAGTGTTATTCTTTTAAATTTGTTTGCAATGCCAGGACCAAATACCAATGACCATATACCTAGTCGATTTAGTCACTGAGCGTTTTATTATTTACGCCAGTGACGACAGCGACTCTTCGTTATGTCAACGATGAGGAGCCAACTCCTTCCACCAGCTCAGGTGCTACCATAAATTTAATCCAAGCACTATTAGAAAATGATAGTGACGACGGCGACACATAATTTTTAATATTAAGTATATTTTTTTTAAATAAACTTCTTAACTTTTAATTGTATTTTATTTATAACACCTAATACACTTCACGAATTCCTCTCTTTTCTTTAACTTTCTTCTAAACACACAGGCTTAAAAACAAATTATGGCAAATAAAAAATTAAATAAAATAAAATTAAATTATATGCGGGCAATAAAAGTGACCATTTTTTGTTGCAATGTGCACTATGCGCGACATTACCCCCACTACACCAAAACCTTGCCAACTTACGTGCCGCTTACTATACTGCTTCACGGCAGAAAAAGGCAGGGCGGTGGTACCTACCCGCGCGGACTCACAAGAGGTCCTACCACCATTATTTCTTTATTTGCGTGAAGAACGAAACATGTAAGACCATTAAATTTGATTGCGCTTGAACTATAAAAAGTAACGATTGGTTACATACGATAACGGATAAAATTGAGCTAAGTACATTGTTTTAATTATGTACATTTCAAATAAATACATATATATTATTTATTAACAACGAATTCTTTCGCAATTTTTTTTTTCTTTTTTTTTTTAAACCACGTTAACTGGTCCCGTGGTAAGTTCGTAAAGAACTTGTGTTACAGGTACCAGATAACGGAAATAAATGTAAGATTTTTATTATACACATACATATATTTAATATACATCCATAACCCTGGAAAAGACATTTTATATTATTCATACAAAAGTCACTACACAAGGTGGTCGCGGGATTCGAACCCGCGACCACCTTGTGTAGTGACCATGTCACTTACCACTACACCAGACGGCCGTCTGGTCAATTAAAATGGTAGAGTAATCTTGAGCACACTTTGATCTCTAAAATTGTCCTGATTGACGGTTTTATCCACTAGTTTAAACTCTAGTCGTGTTACACAGTCCAACCCAGAGTTTCTCCAACTTTTTTGAGCTATGCCCCCCATAGGTACATAATTTGTAACATAAAAAAATTGATCTGTTCACTTAAGAAATATGAATGATAGGTTTTAGGAAGTAATTACTATAAAATTGTTATCAAAACATAGTAAGTAATATTTCAAAACATATAATAAAAAACTGGAAATCAAATTCAAAATACCTTTAATACAGATTTTCTATATTAAAAATGGTGCCATTGCCCCCTTAATTATGAAATTCCCCCCTTGAGGGGGCATGGGCCCCACGTTGAGAAACACGGTCTAACCGCAAATGGTACTCAACTTCTCAATAAGCCTTGATATTCACGTGACCGCAGGCCTTGGCATTGCAGTCATTTGGCTTGTGCGTTTCCAGGGAGTTTTGGTCTCAAAACTAGTGATGAGATAAGAGTGAGCGAAGTTAATTCACATTTTGACACGTGCGTCTCCGGTGTTAATGCTAACGGTTGTTCTTTTTAATGAGGTTTGAATGGAATCTAGCATAGATAACAGCTTCGCTAGACCCGTCATTGCTGATAATGATGGTCGATATTGACCGCTTTTGGGTGTTGATAAACTTCTTTCTGGGGGCAAACAAAATGTGTTAGCTTGATGTAGCTTGTTTCCTAGAGAATTTCAGACATTTATTTCTTGTAACCAGCCCCGAACAGAATGTTTCCTATTCACGTACGGCACAAATCTAAATACTTTGATATTTATTACCAATGATTGTTTGTTGATGCCTAATGTTCTGGTAGGCCATGGCTATCCATTGATGTAGGTACTTTATGATATTATAGTTCGATAGGTAGTTACTTGTTCTTACAAAAACCGGTCTTTTTCTTTTTTTCCCCTATCTATGCTGATAGCCTTGAGTGGATATTTTAGCTTCTCCTTAACGTGTAGGTGAGCTCACGGGGCTCTAACAGAGAGTGTTGCTAACACTGGCCCTAGCAAGAGGGCAAGAGCAGTGTTTCGCCGAATCTACCACCGGATCGGAAACGCGACCCACTGAGAAGATCCGGCGAGAAACTCAGTGGGCAAAACCGTTCAAACCTAAAAATTGCTTTTTAATTTAGAAAAAGGTCTGGTCTGAGACAAAAAGAATTTGTTTTGAAGGACAGGTGTTTTTAACTTCCCTGTGTACGTACACTATTGTAAATCAGGGGACGCGGCGGAGAGGGTTCACCACCAACGGTTTTAATGCGGCGTCTCTTTCGCACTACCATTCCTGATTATGTTTTGTCGCGCGCATGCTCCGTCTGACTCCGAACGAGCGTTTTGTCGTTTTGTTCGTATTTCGCTTTACGTCAGTGCACGAATGAGCGGTCGGTCCTCGACGATTCGCGTGTCTTCGCCGCTCTTCGACGGACGTCTGTTTAGTTGACGTCCGAAAACGAATCCCACATTCGAAAAGTTTTAAACTTTTCCAGTGCGGATTCTCGAGCGCTTTGTAACTCATTAAAAAAAAAAAAACGTGAATTCTGTGAACCAAAAGTGCACGTTTGTTGATTGTTGTGTTATTGTGAAGTGCTTGAGAGTTATACTATCGTTTAGTAACTACGCTTGGACGTTACTGTTTTGTTTGCGAAAAACGCGTTAAAGCAGTCGCGATCTTCGTTAGGTCCGTTTATGGCGTAAGTTGAATCTTGGGGCTGGCGTCGGTCGGTGAAAGTAGACCTTTGTTAAGTTCATAAGGACACAGGCGCTTGCAACTGGTTCGGAGCGACGTGTTTCGCTTGCACTCGGAGAGAAGGTGAGCGGCATGACTTACCTAGTTACTCTTCAAACTACAGTTAGCTTAAGAAGCGTTTTAATATTGCATTCAAATAGAAGTTCTTTCACTCGGTTTTATTACTTTGTAAATTGTTCGTTTTGCTTACTTATGTAGTTCGTATCGCGATACTTGCAAAACATTCGATAATATTGTTTACATTGTACACGTAGAACAGCTGAATGGTTTCTTTCTTATCTACTCAGCTCTGTACCACTAATTACCATCACGACAATCAGTTCGTAACGAAATATTTTCATTATGGTTCTGGAGAATTTCGAACTTTTATATAAGTTAATTAAAAGCTTAACAAAAATTTCGCGAGTTTCTGAATAAACGTGTTCTACAGACCATTCATACTGCGAGGCCTGTAGGTCAGTGCCCTGCACCCTACCTGTTGACTTGCCTTTCCCAGTCAAGCCGGTTTCGACATTAACAACACGAGCTGTAAAAAATGTGTCAGGTTTCTTATTGATAGCTGTTAGTTATAAATGAACAGGTTCAACTTAGATCTCACAGAAAATTAGACAAAAATTATAAGGAGCGGTGTGTACAATTAGATATTGGTCGTGTGTTTAATTCACCTGGCAGAAATGGCTTTTCAATCAACGATATTTTTTACGTTATAAATATAATGCTCAGCAGTGCTCACGGTTGGTATTTTTGTTGCTATTCGTATAATATTTGTGATTGCACGAGTGAAGAATATCAAGGCCGCTTGAGCTTGAAAAAATTAAAGTCTAAAAACCCTGGTCAAAGTCAAGCGATGACGGCCAATACACAACGACGGCTTCTGTAACAAAATAAGCTTTAGTTATTATGTCTTCGAAGGCATTTTTCGGTCACCGGTGGTTAAGAGCTCAAGAAACATCGTGGCCACATCTAAGCCACATTTTAATAAAGGCGTTGCATAGCGCTCTCCGGAAGCTCCATGTACAGCTTCTCGAAAAGGCTTATCGAAAATTCTGAAGGCTTTCTTGTAATACGGTTTGTTGGTAATAAAGAGCTAGGGGTTTGTGCGAGCAGAACTCCACACACAACTGGACTTAGTAGTGCATAAGGAAAGCGAAACTTTACAGCCAAAGAAAATAATAGGCGTATATTATTTACTGGTGGTAGGACGTCTTGTGAGTCCGCACCGCCCTGCCCATTTTTGCCGTGAATTAGTAATACATTTCAGTTTGAAGAGCGGGGCAGCCGTTGTAACTATACTGAGACCTTAGAACTCATATCTCAACGTAAATACAGCCATTTACACGGGGCGAAGCTAGTCTAAAAAAAGGAGCCTAAGTTACTCCTTATATCATCAGCTACCTATCAGTGAAAGTCACTTCAAAAGCGGTTCCAGAGATTAGCTGGAACAAACAGACAGACAGACCAAAATTGTAAAAAATGCTATTTTGGTGTATGTACCGCATATAATATATTCATATGCATGTAGTAAAAAGCGGTTATTTCAATATAACAAAAAGACAGTCCAATTTTATTTATACGTATAGATAAGATAGTTTTTATACCAAACTATCACTACATTTCTACACCGGTCTTCGAATTTTATGATACGGTAATGTCTCATGCACCAGTGAATACAGAGCATAGAGTAGGTATGTATCTATTCAAATGTATAACGTTACAATGTTGCCATATCAAATCTTAGAAAGTTACCACCAACTGAGCCGGCCACGTGTTCCGAAAACATTGAGTTGTTTTTAAAACTTATTGTCTATGTATACCGGCTCTATGACAATGTTCAATCGTTTCCAGAAAAGGAAGGAATCAGTCGATTTAATGGTATTCATTTAAAATTAACGAATTTATTACCAATATTAATAAATAGAAGACCAATTTTTGGTTATGATGTGGTAAGTGTTTAATATTTAAAGAAGAGAAGACGTAAATAATGAAAGTATGTTTTTTTTTAAGCACTAGGAATTGATGTAAGCGTTACGATTCCCTCTGTGTGCTTAGTACGTGTTTTTTAACGTTGTCGATATCGTAAAAGTGAACTCAAATTTGTATGGAGTTGGAACGTTTGCCTACGTTTGCCGCTAGGGGCGCTGTTCCAACTCCATACAAACTCGAGTTAACTTTTACGCTATCGAGAACGTTAAAAAACTCGCACTAAACGCACACTGAACTCATGACCCCTAATATCTGTGGTTCACGTTCATGAGTCAAGTAGGCCAAGGTATGATAAAGTTGATTACGTATCAAAGCCAAATTAAGTGGAGTGCGATTAAGCATGTATTGTTGCGTAATTTGAGTATCAGTCGATAATAATACTAATTAAAAAAAGCGTTTGTAGCGTTTCTATGGACGTGTTAATGATAAAAAAATGTAATTTCTTGCGTCAATTTTCATAATAACGTTTGCAAACTTATCGATTTAGTTATAACTAACTGTGTAGAGCGTGGACTGTAATTTGTACTGGTCGCTTCAATAATTAGATATATGTATTCAGAGAGAAGGTTATTTTTATTTTATTTTAATATAGTTACAACACGTGCACGTAAGACCTGAATTTTTTTTTAAAGGGATTTTATGACCTGGTAACTGAGACCTTTATGTCATGTCTTATTTTAATTTATATTCATAATTTTTATGAAAAATGATATTATGGAGTGAAATGAAATGAAGATGATTAATTTGAGACATTAATCAGCTGGGATGAAATTAAATGAAATGAAATGAGATAAGTAATATGGGATGAAATATAATCTCAGTAAAATGGTGGTCATTTACTAAGATTTTTTCAGTGGACTTTTTGGAAAATTCCGAGAAGTTACGTCCAGCGGCTTTGTTTCATTTTCCCACATTGGTGCACTTTCACAGATATTAAACAGTTAATAAACCACCATTATTACACATTTAAACCTGAAGAAACACTAAATACACAAAATAAAACAAATCACACAACTTCACTCCTCGCGTTCCCGCCAAAAAGTCCCTAAGACCTGAATTTTTTATTGACTGAGTTGTCACAATTATTATTCTGTTTCAAAATTCAAAAAACAGTCATACAAACTTCATGTTTAGAATTGCTCTAAACAATAACTACTTAATGTAAAACTTTTATATTTTCATAGTATTTTTCGTATAATTAAATTTTAAGATATATATTTGAGAAAAAAAAACACGTCTAATTTAAACAATTTATCACCCGGAACCAGTTGAGGAGAGGTCGCAGCTAACTCATTCATGCATAATTCGCGACCTATCGTGCCCGACTTCCTAAAACGAAACCCTGAAATGTTTCAATTGAAAATTTATTTTTACTGAAATTTAAAACTTCAGGGTAATTTTTATACTTGTAACTGCTTACTGGATGTAATTATCGCCTAATACTTTCATAAGAAACTAGCCATACTGGCCCGCTTCGCTGGGCATTTAAAATTAACGTTATTATTGATTGTCATTATTATTAGGGAGTCCAACACTTATATAAATATTAGCCTATCCATTAAGTACATGTATTTTCTACATGGATACCAAGTTTCAAGTCAATCGAATGCATGGTTCAGTAGTTATAACGGGAAATCCGTAAAAACCACTGTAGATTTATATATTACTATAAGTATATGTACAGAGTTGCAAATTGATCGAGTAAGGACAGCGCGAACACGGGCCAACAGACAAGCAAATTCACAATAATTTCTTATTAATCTATCTATCTATCTCTATATATAAAAATGAATTTCTGTTCGTTAATCTCGCTAAAACTCGAGAACGGCTGGACTGATTTTGGTCTAATTTTAGTCTTTAGGCGAATTTTGGTCTTGAATTATTCGTGGAAGTCCAGGGAAGGTTTAAAAGGTGAGAAAATATAAAAAAGCTCGGGATTATTAAAAAACAAACAATTTTGTTTTTCCTTTGATGTGTCCCTTTGATGTGTTTTTTATTTATCGATTGAAGCACTACGAAGTCTGCCGGGTCAGACAGTCATCTGATAAAAAATGACAACGCTAAGTTTTTTAATAATCAAACAATCTGGTGAAAATGTGTTTTAAGATTTATTTCTTCGTAAAATACAGAATTAACCTTCAGAAGACCTTTTTCACGGATTACCCTTATTTGCACTTACATCTATTTGCAGTTTCAAATGTTTTGAACTATATTCCTAATTTTGTAATTTACCTCGACTTTGCTCTAATAAAAGACCTATTCGAAGCGGCTCATCATCGCCCAATACGTCATGTAACCTTGCCACTTATCTTAAAGAATTAGTCGAGGCAAACATGAGATGTGTATGTAACATACGAAATATGATAGCGTAACTAACATGTTCGTATGCTTTTTTTGTGGCTGTCATCAACACATGAACATCTGGTGTGGAAGCTAAGAATAATAAAACTAGTTAGTAAAAAAGTTTTATTATTCGTAGTGTGGAACTAATAGCGCAGGGGTATTCACGACGTATAAAGTTGGAAGTTTCAATTTTTTTTATAAACGAACCTCTTGTTTGTTTGTTTGAATGATTACTGTTGTCCCGGAGGCCGCTACAGTTTCACTAGGACAACTAGGCGAGCAAAGGCTCAGTCAGGAGGGGAGGGATTTGCTAACAGCTGCCCGAGCGCCTCCGAAGGACACCTAACAACTCGCGAATGAATCTACTATATCGGCATCGCGACCCACTGAGAAGATCCGGCGAGAAACTTAGCGGGCGCGGCCGTCTTCTTGAAACCTTATTACTTGGCAGAAGACGTGATATGGCCTACCAACAAAGAGTATATAAATATAATACTTGAAAAATATGTACGTACGTGATAGTTTCAAGAAATGTGTATTTCATAAAGGTAATATCGCGATAAGTGCAGTCACTGCTACGCGTGTTCCGTTTTTATTAACGTTCATAAAATTGGAAGTGCGAATATTGGGCGTATTTAAAATATAGATATAATTGAGATTGTTAGTTAATGGTTGCCCCTGGTCAGGCTGGCCAGGTCTGACGAGATGGTCAACAGGTAACAGTCGCTTTTGTCGAA